ACATCGACGAGTGTTTGGTGCCGGAGCTGGCAGCTAAGTGTGTTGAAGATGCAGAGTGTTGCAACCTGCCAGCACACTACACTTGCAAGTGCAAGGAAGGATTCACCGGAGATGGTTACAACATTTGTACAGGTGAGTGTATACACACACACACATACACACACATACACACACACATACACACATACATACACATACACACACACATACACATACACACACACATACACACACACATACACACACACACACACACACACACACACACACACACACACACACACACATACACACACACATACATACACACACACATACACACACACATACAATATACACACACATACACACACACATACACACACACACACATACACACACACACACACACACACACACACACACACACACACACACACACACACCAACACTGATGATCTGTGTATGTGGTGTGTGTGTGTGTATGTGTGTGTGTGTGTGTGTGTACTCACCTAGTACTACCTAGTTGAGGTTGCGGGGGTCGAGTCCGTGCTCCTGGCCCCGCCTCTTCACTGATCGCTACTAGGTCACTCTCCTGAGCCGTGAGCTTTATCGTACCTCGCTTATAAGCTATGTATGGATCCTGCCTCACTACATCGCTTCCCAAACTATTCAACTTACTGACTACTCTGTGGCTAAAGAAATACTTCCTAACACCCCTGTGTTTCATCTGTGTCTTCAGCTTCCAAATTTGGTCCCCTTTTTTCTGTGCCCAATTTGGAACACCCTGTTTTTGTCCCCCTTTGTCAATTCCTTCGTTTTTGTATGTCTTTCATGCCCCCCCATCTCCCTTTTTCCTCCAGTTGTCGGTTGATTTCCCTTAACCTCTCGTGTGTGTTGTGTGTGTGTTTGTGTGTAGTTTGTGTGTGTTTGTGTGTGGGGGTGTGTGTGTGTGTGTGTGTGTGTGTGTTGTGTGTGGGGTGTGTGTGTTTGTTGTAGTGTGTGTATGTGTGTGTGTGTGTGTTGTGTGTGTGTGTGTGTGTTGGTGTTGTGTGTGTGTGTGTGTTTTTGGTTGTTTGTGTTGTGGGGGTTTGTGTGTGTGTGGGTGTGGTTTGTGTGTTGTGGTGTATGTGTGTGTGTGGTGTGTGAGAGAGAGAGTAGAGAGAGGAGAGAGGAGGTAGAGAGGGGGGAAAAGGTGATAAACTATTGCGGAAAACCCCCTCAAAAAAACCTGTTTGGTATTTCCCTGCTAAGCACAGCGCACAGAGCAGCCACATAACAGTAACAGTAACAGAAAACAGACCCGCGCAGCAGCAGCAGCAGCAGCAAAAACAGCAGCAGCAGAAAACAACAAAACAGCAAAAAACATAGCAACGGGAACAGCAAAAACAGTGGTGGATCCCTTTTAAGTGTCTGGGTTTCAAAAGGGCTTGCCAACGTTACTGACACTCGGTCACCCCGGGCCCCCCCGGGGTCACCCAGGGTCCCCCCAGGGTCCCGGGTCCCACACATTTTCCCTGTGTGAGGTTGTGTGTTAACAACCACACACACACCACACACAAAACAACACACACACACAAACACACCACACCACAAACACACACACCACAACACAACACACCACACCTGATTTACCACCTGTCAATTACAAATTCCTCATGGTCTCTTAAATACCAAAATTATTTACATTGTATTATCCATGTTGTAAGTGATAAGTTTAAATGTATTTATCTGTTATTTATTACGACAAGAGAGTGTTGTCACCCGGTGCTTGGGTCATAATGCTGATGTACAAACCTAAATGGTAACTACACTTGTTCTGCCCTTACGGTTTATCGGAAAAACCCATCACTGGGTGAGTATACTTTTCTCATTTTTTTTCTCTGATCGTCTTACTCCCCCGTTAAGTTTTCCCGTTATTTCTGTGGTTGCCCTTTCGAATTTCCCTCTCTTCCTTCTCTTCTCTCTCTCTCTCTCTCTCTCCTCTTCTCTTCTCTCTCTCTTTTTCTCTTTTTTCACGACTATCTCTACCTATGAATTACTTTCAACACAACCATGTACCATTATCGTGCCGTATACCCCCCACTATCGTGACGTATACCCCATCAATCCCAGATACCCCCCATTTCGTGCCATTTAAAACCTCCCATCAGTCCCCAGTATACCTCCCATCAGTGCCATATACCCCTATCTATCAGTGGCCAGTATACCTCCGATTATCATGCCAGTCCCTTCCATTTATCATGCCACAACCCCCCCCATTATCGGGCCCCAGTTATTTTATCCATTTCCCGTTACCTCCATCTATCTGCCAGTATACCCCCCCCATCTATCATCCCGATACCTTCCTCTATCAGTCCCGGATACCCCCCAACTATCATCCCAGTATACCCCCCATCAAAATAGTGCCATAAATTTCCATCTTCAGTGTAGTATACCCCCCCATAAATTCAGTTGGGGGCATTATATGACATATCTCTGCTTGTGCCAACAGTGTGTCGACTTTGACAGTCCCAACGAGCGGACAGCTGGGGCCCCCAATCCCCAGTGCCGCAATAAAAGGGGTGGTCATGTTTTGTGATGTCCGCCCGGCTTCCGGGTGCCCTGACTCCACTGCGGGGTCCCGGTGAGTGCTGGTGCCTGAGTGCTAGGTGCTAGTGGGGGCGGGGGAAGGTGAGTGCTGGGTCAGGGAGTGCGGGAAAGTTGATTGCTGGGGCAGGTGAGTGCTGAGTGCCGGGTGAGTGCTGGTGAGTGCGGGGAAGGGTGAGTGCGGGTGCCATGCGGTGTAGGGGGTGGGGGTGTCAGGTGAGGTTTAGGTGCTAGATGAGAGGGGGGGAAAGGTGAGTGCTGGGTCCCAGGTGATTTCGGGGTGCTGGGTAAATGCTGGGTACCAGGTGTATGAGTCTGGTTGTGGGTCCGGGGGTGCTGGGTCCCAGGGGGTTGGGGGTGCCAGGTGAGTGTGGGTCCCAGGTGAGTGCTAGGTGAGTGCTGGGTGCCAGGTGAGTGCAGGTGGTGCTGGGTCCCAGGTGAGTGCTAGGGAGTGCTGGTTCCCAGGTGAGTGCAGGGAGTGCTGGGTGCCAGGTGGGTAGGGAGTATAGGTAGTGCTGGGTGCCAGATGAGTGCTGGGTGAGTCTGGAAAGGTGGTGTGGGTGCCAGGGAGTTCTGGGTGTAGGTGAGGAGGTGCAAGGTGATATAGGTGAGGCTGGGTGGCAGGTGAGTGCTGGGTGGCGGGATGCTGGATCCAGGCGAGTGCTAGGTGAGTGTGGGTCCAGGGAGTGCTAAGTGAGAGCTGGGTGCCAGGTGAGTGCTAGGTGAGTGCTGGGTGCCAGGTGAGTCTTATTTTTGGTGCCAGGGAGTGCTGGGGTGACAGGTGTGGGTGAGAAAAGGGTGAGTGCTGGGTGTCGGTGAGTGCGGGTGTCGGTGAGGTGGGTGCCAGGTGCTAGGTGATTGCGGGGTTCAGGTGGTGTGGGTGTCGGGTGAGTGCGGGGTGTCAGGTGCTAGGTAGTGTGGGGTCTTTGATGCTGGGTGTCAGGTGAGGCTGGGTGTCGGGTTGAGTGCTGGGTGTAGGTGAGTCTGGGTGTCAGGTGAGGCTGGGTTCAGGTGAGGCGGGGTGCAGGTGAGGCGGGTGTCAGGTGATGTGGGTGTCGGTGAGTGCTGGGTCCCAGGTGTGGTGATGCTGGGGTCAGGTGAGTGCTGGGGCCTTTGAGGGGGGTGGGTAGGAGTTAAGGTGAAAAAAAGGTTAATTAAAAGGTTGTTAGTAGTGTATAAAGGGGTTGTTAGGGGTGTGTAGTTTTTGGGTTTTTTTGTCCCAAAGTTTTTGATTAGGTGCGAAAGGCGGGGGTTTTAATAAGAGAGAGAAGGAGAGAGAGATCCCCTCAGATATACTAAACCAGTGCTGCAGCAGGAACCCACACGCTGTATGACCCCCGAGGCACCACACCACTGGGGGGGTGCCTCGGAGGTTCACTGGTTATGCCCCACCCCAGGGGGTGTGGTGCACTAACGCCTTACTCCCCATACAGGCCCTGAACGGTGTGAGGAAAACCGTGTGCAACCAACGCCCCTGTGGTGGCGGTATCAAATAAACTTCACGTGTCCCTGTCCCCCGGGTTTTTCCGGGGTGCCCCCTTAAAAACGTCGCGGTCTTGCAAAGGTAAACATGACCTCAATTGTTTATGACCTTTCTGGTTGATCCATATGTTAAAACCTCTCTTGGTTACCTTCAGTATGTTAGAACCTTCCGGGTTGACCCCCAATATGTTAAAACCTTCCTGGTTGCCCTCCAGTATTTTTAAAACCTCCCCTGGTTGCCCCCGTATTTATAACCTTTGGTTGACCTCAGTATTTTATAACCCTCCGGGTTCCCCCCTGACCCCCCTATGCCCCCTTTTAAAAGAATGAACTGTGAACATCCCTGTAGTTTGTGACCCAGGAAAACAATGTAGTATTGTGACACTGGGAAACACTGTATTGTGACCCTGGGAAACAATGAGTTGTGACCCTGGGTAAAAATGTAGTTTGTGCCCCTGGGTAACAATGTAGTATGTGACCCGGGGTAACAAGTGATTGTGACCCGGGTAACAATGTAGTTTTGTAACCCTGGGTAACAATGTATATTGTGTCTGGGTAACAAGTAGTATTGGAAACTGGGTAACAATGTAGTTTGTCCCCTGGGTAACATGTAGTATGGAACCCTGGGTAACAATGAGTATTGAAACCCCGGGGTAAAAATGTAGTATGAACCCTGGGTAAAAATGTAGTATTGTAACCCTGGGTAACAATGTTATTGTGATCCGGGTAAAATGTATTATTGGACCCTGGGTAACAATGTTATTGTCCCCCTGGGTAACAAGGTATTGAAACCCCTGGGTAAAAATGTAGTTTGTGCCCCTGGGAAACAATGTAGTTTGTAACCCCGGGAACAAGTGTATTGAAACCCCTGGGTAAAAGTAGTATTTAACCCTGGGAAAACAAGTGATTGAAAACCCGGAAACAAGTATATTGTAACCCTGGGTAAAAGTAGTATTGAAAACCCTGGGTAACAAGTATATTGAACCGGGGTAACAATGTAGTATTGTAACCCTGGGTAACAATGTAGTATTGTAACCCTGGGTAACAATGTAGTATTGTAACCCTGGGTAACAATGTAGTATTGTAACCCTGGGTAACAATGTAGTAGAAACCCCCGGGGTAACAATTTTATTGTAACCCGGGGTAAAAATGTGTATTGAAACCCGGGGTAACAATGTAGTATTGAAACCCTGGGTAACAAGTGTTTTGTAACCCGGGGGTAACAATGTAGTATTGAAAACCCGGGGGTAAAAATGTAGTT